GCTCTGCCCTCGCTCGGCCTCGGCGCTGTGCGTACAGCTTTAAGAAGGAGCAGCTCGAGCGCTGACGGTTGGGATTTGAAGTTCTTCCTCCCTCTTTAGAAGTCTGGACGGATGGGGGGTGTTGCTATGGCAACGGCACCCTCTTCACGCCCCCCCTCTTTCCTTTGCGGACGCCCCGACGACGACTCTGGTCCTCTTTCCCTGTCATGTGATGGACACGCATCGCCCTCCCTACGTCCAGTCCCCGCTCAGCTGTAATTCCGTTTACCTTTTCCTTGGGGTCTGTCAGACTGGTTTGGCTGCAAACTTCTGGGCTCGGGGCTGTCATTCTGCGAGCTCGCTGTTCCGGGTGGCGGGACGCGGTGAGGCTCCCTACCTCGCAGTCGGCTCTGCTGTCCCCGACCCCGGGGGAGGCGTGTGCCCGGAGCTGTTATGCAGCAGGTTGGTGTGGAGGGCACATAGCCGGGGTTGTGGAAGGGGCGAGGGAGGGAGCGGAGGGGGAAGCGGGGCCCAGAAGGCCGTGGCCCCGCTTTTCTCTGTCGAGAACATCTCAACGTTCGGAGTTGAGTGGACTCAGCATCTGAGCAAAGGACAACTCTCCCAGCTTGTTTTCATCTGTTCTTGGGCCGCCTCGTGCCCCTGCCCTTGCTCCCACCCCTCTCAGATTGTTCTGGTTAGTGCCTTTAAGGTCGGTCTTGTCTTCACTAGTGAAAAAGACCTTCTTATAGAAGAAACTAGAAACTGCTTGAGTTCAGAAATGTGCCATACAGAATACAATGTACAAAGGAAAGCAGAAGGAAGGTTTCTCTAATTTAGGGACCTTTAAGTGATGTTTAAGCAGTTTACTGTTTTGTCTCATCTTTATAAAATGTACTTTGGTGTTGTGTGTGCGAAAGGTATGGGGGGGAGCTTTGGTCAAGGATTAAGTGATTTTAGTTACTAAGGGGGAGAAAAACCCTCGCTGTATTTATATACCACGTGTGTTGGTACTTGTATTTCTTGAATACAAAATAAACCCATTTTGATAGCTACTTATGCAAAGACCTGTTCTAGTGAAAAACCTGTCTAGAAATTGTAAAGTGCATTCGGTGGAGTCAGCTCTGGCAGCACTGCAGTACCGGCTTACTGGCGTATTGCTAAGTTTTGTCAAGACACACGGTGATTTGAAGGCGACCGTCGTCAATTTTTGTTTCAGAATATTTGAGGTGTTTTTTCCATCTTTAAATTCATAAACTATCGCTTTTGCATTGCAAAAATAATTGTAGGTTTGAAAGAGTCTAATCTTAATTAAATGAAACAATACAGTTTAATGGAGAAAGGAGTTAGATTATCTTTCTGCCTTACCCACTTGGATACTCAAGTAGTATTTGAAGACATTGAAATAATACTGCATTGTAATCTGTAATTACACTTTCAGTGTAATACATACATTGTACCAGACATGAAAAGAAATGTTTTCTTGGGCAACAGCCATATTTGAGGATAATAGTCCCAGTCCTCATCAGGAGACCTACCAGAATCCATTTCATACTTTGTTTTTGTCTTTTTTTTTAAAATAAAAAAATAAAACTTTTTTCTACAATATACACTTTTGGTGGCTAGGTTTTTTTGTGTCATTTGTGATGTGAATTGGTATTAAAAGTAATTTTATTTTAAGTCACTTTTTACTATTGTGTGCTTACATTCTTTTGTAAATTTATTTGCAGAAGTGTTTCCATATTCGTGAATTATATATACTTTGTGTATATGTCTTATACCTTTCTACATTTCTGTATTGAATATTTAGTGCTGTTATTGCTTGAAATCATTTTTTATAAAAGCATCTTGCCTACTTTTAAGAAATAAAATGATTGAAAAGTCTTTTCAGGGAGAATTGGAAATTATAGGCATCTTACGGCTGTACAGCCAATTGGTATAAAGTCCCCAGTGAAGTTTCTTGAATCTCATTTCTTAGGTTAACTATTTAAAGAAACATGATTGATATTTTTATAATATATAGTATCCAAATTTTATAAAGAAAGTTGTAGTTGTCAATGACTGTTTATAATAGTTGAAAAGGGAAAATGTTTGACTCTATATAGAAGGAGATATTTACTTTCCTCTGATTGTGGAACTTAACCTCTTTAGATTTCTGTGGTATTCATTTTTTTTTGTTTTGCTTTAAATTGGAGAACTGTCCTTCAAGCTTTATCCAAGTTAATAACTCAATTTGGAGGTGGGGGGGTTCTTTATAATTTGGTCCTTTTTCTGAAACCATAATATATTGTGGTATAATTTTGAGTCTCCTCATGTAACAAATGCTTGAGTGCATATTGGCTATGGGACTAGTATTCTAATCATCAGAATTATATTGAGCATTAATAGACTGGAGAACTGTCCTTCAAGCTTTATCCAAGTTAATAACTCAATTTGGAGGTGGGGGGGTTCTTTATAATTTGGTCCTTTTTCTGAAACCATAATATATTGTGGTATAATTTTGAGTCTCCTCATGTAACAAATGCTTGAGTGCATATTGGCTATGGGACTAGTATTCTAATCATCAGAATTATATTGAGCATTAATAGACACAGTCCTGTTTTTTTATAGAGTATGTAATTAGTAGCTACTAACCAGGATGACACTGAGCATTAATTGAGTGTTCTGTATTTTATGGAATAAATAATATAATTAGTATCTAATGATTCATAAAATTAGAAACAGTTAAGTGTAGAATAAAAGAAATGTGTTAGTTCATCTTAAAGCATGATTCAGACTTGTCTATTATTTGTATTAGAATATTTGATCTAGAGGACAGGCCGGTTTTATTAGTTTTTTTATTTTATGTGTATGCATGTATTGCCTATGTGTAGGTAAGTGCACCTGTGTCATGCAATGCCTGCAGAGGACAGAAGAGGCTGTTGGATCCCCTGGAACTGGAGTTATGGACAGTTGTTAGTTGCCATGTGGGTGCTGGGATTTGAACCCGGGTCTTCTGCAAGAACAACTAGTGTTCTTAACTGCTGAGCCATCTTTCCAGCCTTAGAGGACAGGCCAATTTTTTTTTTAAAAAAAACTTTATTTTGGCACAGCTTTCATCTTACAGAAAATTCATAGAATAAGCAACTCCTATTTGACTTCCCTGCATTAACCATCTGCTCCATGCTTTGTTGTGTTTTATCATTCTTGCCGCATGCATGCATGTGTGTGTGTGTGTATGTATGTGTGTGTGTGTGTAAAAACTGAACAGTCTGAGAATAATTTGGAGATATCTTTGCCCCTAAACTCTTCAGTATATAGTTCCTAAAAGCAAGGATGCTGTCTTACACCATGTAGTTATTAAAATGAGGAGATCTACACAACACTATCAGGTTTATAATTCATATTCAGATTGTATCTATTTTCTCTGTTCACCTTCCCTCTGTGCCCTAGTCCAGTATCCCCTCTAGGACCATGCACTGCATTTATTTGGGCCTCATGTCAGCCCTTTTAATTGGGAATCCTTGAATTTCTTGACCTTAGCACTTTTGAAAATATAGGGCATTGTTTTGTACAGTGTCTCTCAGTCTGAATTTATTGTTTTCTCCTGGTGATATTGTTAAGCATTTGGCAGGAATACTAATGAAGAAATGTTCTGTCCTCAGTACATCCATCTTGAAGATCATGTTGGTTTCTCTCAACTTCAAAATTTGGTTCCGACGATACTCCGTTTGTCCCCAAAATTATTATTTATTTTTTGTAATTAATATGTAGCTTATGAGAAAGTACTTTCAAGAACAAGATATTGCCATCTTCTTATCAAAGCTTCAGTCACAGGCTTTAATATCCATAGATAGACTGGCTTCATTCCTTTTTTAGATATTAGGAGTTGGCATTCATTTCCGTGTTTGAATCAGTGGGTGTGGATTCACAAATTCTTATTCAATGCTAAATTCTTAAAATGTGGCAGATTTGACTAATGGCAGCTTTATCAAGTTTGTGTGTGAGCGTTTCTAAACAAGGTGTTCCATTCTCATGCACTTTATCATCTTGGGTTGTCATCAATGTCTCCAGTATGATCTCCAACCTTTTTCATGGAAAAATAAATTTAGATACTAAAACTAAGTACCAGGTTTTAGAACGGTTTTTGTTTTGTAGTTTGAATTTTTTGTTTGTTTGTTTTGAGACAGCCTTTCCCTATAACCACAGCTGGCAAGGAACTCACTGTGGAAACCAGGCTGGCTTCCATTTAGCAAAGATCTGCCTGCTTCTGCCTCCCAAGTTCTGTGATTAAAGGCATGCACCACCACACCTGGCCCTTTAGAACTGTTTTAAACACCATTGTTTCAAACATAGAAGTTGATAGCTTGGTATATATATTTTTTCTAAGATAACCCAGTAAAATGAAGAAGCATTGGTTAGAAAATGAAGATTGGGTTAGAAACGTTTTATACACCACCACATTTCCTACATGTGGTTCAGTAGAAATATAATTAAAGTCAAATATGTTATTTTAAGTCTGCTGGTAGTAATCACATTAAAAAAAACTCATTCAATCTATTCTTTTCA